TGAAGCAGCAGTGGCAGACATCATGAGGTAGCAGTGGCAGACATCAGTGAGGTAGCAGTGGCAGACATGAAGCAGCAGTTGTAAACGTAATGAGGTAGCAGTGGCAGACAACATGATATTAAGGAAATTATTGAAGTATTTCCTGCTGCCAGGAATTCCAATGGAACAAATTAATTCCATTTCAATTAATTTAAAAGAGGAAGATTGACTGCGAACGAGCAAATCCAGATGCAAGCAAGGTCATGAAACAGATTAAACTCGTAAGTAGAAGTTCCACTGTATTTGACACATGTACACTGGCTGGTAGGTGTGTGTAGAATACACAACAGCAACACTCCATTCTCATGAACACATTTTATAAACCCTTTCAGGGTTTTCGGATGTACAAGTATGGCCCTTATGCACCAGGGTTTTGACGTACTAGTAGCTAAATTTATGACCCTACTAGTAGAAATGGTAGGCCTACATATGAAAGAATGGGTACTATGAAGTGGTGCAGTATAAAAAAAATCCTGCAGCACACAGTGTGTAATGAGAAAAAAAAACTTTGTGTTTTTGGATCAAAATAGCAACTTTGCACTGTATTTTCGTATGGTATTTATTGTTGTATTCTAGTTTTCCTGGTCTCATTTTATAGAATGGAAGACATATTACAGAAATTGAGATGATTTTGACTGGTTTTGCAATGAAAAGTACCTTGAAATTGAGCTCAAAGTAGCAGAAATGTTCGATTTTTACCAAAGATCAAAAGTAAACAAATCGTGCTAAGCGTCCAATACACGTCAACTGGTGAGTCTAATATTCTTTCACAAGTGAGCTAATATTATTTATACCATTTCTACACTAATGCAGTAGTCTGTATAACAGTAAATTTTCTATTTTTTTTGTGAGAATAAAAATTCAAAGTGGAAAGCAAAAGAAATGTAAGAGGGGCGTGAGGACGTGACTAATGAACAGAAAAAATGTTATTTTAGTGCCAGGAATGTCTGTCTTGTTTATTCTGGACCCTATTTAGAAATTGGCATCTTTTGAAATTTGTGTGAAATTGGCAAAATTGCCAATTTCTGACCACTTTATTGGATAGTTGAAATCGGTAAATGGGTGATTTCTTGTTCTCATTCAATAGAAAAAAATGGAGTTCTAGCGAAATGGTTGTGATTTTTGTCGACTAGTACATTGGAATTGGCCGAAAATGGGGCTCAAAGTGGGCGAAATCGCCGATGTGTAAACATCGCCAAGACCGCAGACTTTGCAAGAACATAATTCAGTAAGTTTTCCATCAAATTTCATACTTTTGGTGTCATTATGATCAAAAAAAGATTCTCTATCATTTCATAAGATTTTTTTTTTTCAAAAAAATTTCAACACTGAGAACAAGTTCAGGAGAGGGCCTCTTGACCCTGAAAGGGTTAATATCTGTCCAGTTTTGACTCAAACATGTAATGACATGAGTTTGCTAAGCATTTACTCCAATACAAACTCAGTGTGTACAAGTTGTCTTCATGTTAGTGCAGTAGAATAAATATATAGCTACAAGTAAAGGCATATGAAAGGAATAATTTTCTACATTACCTCCAGTAATACCATTGTGTACACATTTTCTCTGGTGTTGGACTAGAGACAACATAATTCTTGCCATCAACTGCCTGGGTGCCACATCTCGTATTTATGTCAATTTATTCTACTGTGGTTACATGTATTATGTTTATATGTTATGTAGTGTGTTTCTTATCCATTTTTGAAAAGATATCATAGATTAATGAAAATGTCTATAATACGGTATCTTCAAGACTAATAAGACACTCATAGTTATTTTAATATGTACCTGCACACCAGCACAGTCTGTAAGTTTATTTAGGTACAGGTACACATAAAATACTCAATAACTTTAAAACACCTGAAATTTTGGAAAGTTTCCAGACATAATGGAGAGACAGGGAGACACATGGAGGATGTAAACAGAGTGGTGCACAGTGACTGTATTAGTGAGTCAGGTGGGGGGGGGGGAGCCTTGTAACGAATTTTTGCCATAATCTGACATGTCCATATTAGCAAAATGCCGTAAGCCAAAGATCATAAAGTGTGGCCCTACTGTATGTATATGTATACATTAGCCATTTCCCACCAAGGCAGGATGACCTGAAAAAGAAGAACACTTTCATCACTTAACCCATCGCTGTCTTGCCAGAGGTGTGCCGATACTACAGATCAAAAACTGCAACATGTCTCGACCCCTCCTTCAGAACACAGGCACCATACTTCCCACCTCCAGGACTCAAGTCTGGCTAACCTGTTTCCCTGAATCCCTTCATGAATGTTACCTTGCTCACATTCCAACAGCACGTCGAGTCATAACCATTTGTCTCCACTCGCTCCTATCTAACATGCTCACGCATACCTGTTGAAGTCTTAGGCCCTCACACAAAACCTTTACCCCTCCCTCCCTCCAACCTTGTATATATATTCATTTTTAGTAACACAAATTTTCTTGGAAATGCACTTGAGGCCAGTGCAGGGCTCTTGACTCGTGGAATTGGTATCCACAGTTCAAGGTATCCACCTACTGTGGATACCTGGAACTGTGGAAGCCGAATCTACACATATGGAGGTTCTACTGTTTTTTTTTTTTTCTTGTTTTTTTTTTTTTTTGGTATGTTGGTTATGTGAATCAAAATGTTCTTTAAGATCTTTAATAGTGTACGTGTTTCGCCGTACACTGATGTGCAGACACTTGTGTGTGTGTGTGTGTGTGTGTGTGTGTGTGTGTGTGTGTGTGTGTGTGTGTGTACTCACCTAGTTGTACTCACCTAGTTGAGGTTGCGGGGGTCGAGTCCGAGCTCCTGGCCCCGCCTCTTCACTGATCGCTACTAGGTCACTCTCCCTGAGCCGTGAGCTTTATCATACCTCTGCTTAAAGCTATGTATGGATCCTGCCTCCACTACATCGCTTCCCAAACTATTCCACTTACTGACTACTCTGTGGCTGAAGAAATACTTCCTAACATCCCTGTGATTCATCTGTGTCTTCAGCTTCCAACTGTGTCCCCTTGTTACTGTGTCCAATCTCTGGAACATCCTGTCTTTGTCCACCTTGTCAATTCCTCTCAGTATTTTGTGTGTCATTATCATGTCCCCCCTATCTCTCCTGTCCTCCAGTGTCGTCAGGTTGATTTCCCTTAACCTCTCCTCATAGGACATACCTCTTAGCTCTGGGACTAGTCTTGTTGCAAACCTTTGCACTTTCTCTAGTTTCTTTACGTGCTTGGCTAGGTGTGGGTTCCAAACTGGTGCCGCATACTCCAATATGGGCCTAACGTACACGGTGTACAGGGTCCTGAATGATTCCTTATTAAGATGTTGGAATGCTGTTCTGAGGTTTGCTAGGCGCCCATATGCTGCAGCAGTTATTTGGTTGATGTGCGCTTCAGATGTGCCTGGTGTTATACTCACCCCAAGATCTTTTTCCTTGAGTGAGGTTTGTAGTCTCTGGCCCCCTAGACTGTACTCCGTCTGCGGTCTTCTTTGCCCTTCCCCAATCTTCATGACTTTGCACTTGGTGGGATTGAACTCCAGGAGCCAATTGCTGGACCAGGTCTGCAGCCTGTCCAGATCCCTTTGTAGTTCTGCCTGGTCTTCGATCGAGTGAATTCTTCTCATCAACTTCACGTCATCTGCAAACAGGGACACCTCAGAGTCTATTCCTTCCGTCATGTGTTCACAAATACCAGAAACAGCACTGGTCCTAGGACTGACCCCTGTGGGACCCCGCTGGTCACAGGTGCCCACTCTGACACCTCGCCACGTACCATGACTCGCTGCTGTCTTCCTGACAAGTATTCCCTGATCCATTGTAGTGCCTTCCCTGTTATCCCTGCTTGGTCCTCCAGTTTTTGCACCAATCTCTTTGTGGAACTGTGGAACTGTGTCAAACGCCTTCTTGCAGTCCAAGAAAATGCAATCCACCCACCCCTCTCTCTCTTGTCTTACTGCTGTCACCATGTCATAGAACTCCAGTAGGTTTGTGACACAGGATTTCCCGTCCCTGAAACCATGTTGGCTGCTGTTGATGAGATCGTTGCTTTCTAGGTGTTCCACCACTCTTCTCCTGATAATCTTCTCCATGATTTTGCATACTATACATGTCAGTGACACTGGTCTGTAGTTTAATGCTTCATGTCTGTCTCCTTTTTTAAAGATTGGGACTACATTTGCTGTCTTCCATGCCTCAGGCAATCTCCCTGTTTCGATAGATGTATTGAATATTGTTGTTAGGGGTACACATAGCGCCTCTGCTCCCTCTCTCAATACCCATGGGGAGATGTTACCTGGCCCCATTGCCTTTGAGGTATCTAGCTCACTCAGAAGCCTCTTCACTTCTTCCTCGGTTGTGTGCACTGTGTCCAGCACATGGTGGTGTGCCCCACCTCTCCGTCTTTCTGGAGCCCCTTCTGTCTCCTCTGTGAACACTTCTTTGAATCTCTTGTTGAGTTCCTCACATACTTCACGGTCATTTCTTGTTGTCTCTCCTCCTTCCTTCCTTAGCCTGATTACCTGGTCCTTGACTGTTGTTTTCCTCCTGATATGGCTGTACAACAGTTTCGGGTCAGATTTGGCTTTCGCTGCTATGTTGTTTTCATATTGTCTTTGGGCCTCCCTTCTTATCTGTGCATATTCGTTTCTGGCTCTACGACTGCTCTCCTTATTCTCCTGGGTCCTTTGCCTTCTATATTTCTTCCATTCCCTAGCACACTTGGTTTTTGCCTCCCTGCACCTTTGGGTAAACCATGGGCTCATCCTGGCTTTTTCATTATTCCTGTTACCCTTGGGTACAAACCTCTCCTCAGCCTCCTTGCATTTTGTTGCTACATATTCCATCATCTCATTAACTGGCTTCCCTGCCAGTTCTCTGTCCCACTGAACCCCGTTCAGGAAGTTCCTCATTCCTATGTATGTGTGTGTGTGTGTGTATTTCAAAATGTTGATCTTGATTTTCTGTTGCAGGTTGAGTGGGTTATACAGAGCGCTACACTGTTGCAGAGTTTGTTCAGCTGAGGACTATAGTGTTGCAGAGTGGGTACAGGAGAGCCCAGGTCAGTGCTCAATCACACTAGGTGTGCCCACTTAGCACTACCCAACATACCCATTATCGGATCCGACGCCGAGATTGGCCTTCACACTATACAAGATCCACTCATCCCCAGGAGTTGTCACACGAAACACGACAGAGATACGCCTGGACAAGGCTCTTCACAGACATTATTAAAATGTGGAGGCGAAAAAAAGGATAAATAGCACGGAGAAGGAGGAAGAGGAGGAGGAGAAGGAGAGAGCAGCACAGGAGGAGTAAACAATGTGTGTGTTGATGTGAGAGAGATGACACAACATGTTACATGACCAACCAGAACAAAGGTGATAAATCTCCAGAGGAGAAGAGAGAGAAGATGGACTTGGACGATGGTGTGAGGAAGGAGGATGAGGGTTGTGACGACCCCAGGGAAGATGGTTGTCCTGTTGAAGACACCAGGGACACTCACCAAGACGCATTGACAAAACAAGATGGAGATGACGAGGAAGAATCGAAGGCTAGAGGAACGATGGATGGCGAGGATAACTGTGGTGATGTAAATGATGGTAATAAGCAACATAATGAAGATGAACACATGGCAAATGGTGAGGAAATGCCGGCTGAACAACAGGAGGTAGAGGTTGGTGAGAATGACAAGCAAAGTAAAGATAGACATGACAAGAATGATGAGACAGCAGAACGTCCAGATGATTCTGAGGTTAAAGAATTAGAGGTACAGGTTAGTAAAGACGAGAGAAAAGACGACGTATTTGAGGAGAGAAGTGACAGTAACGATGGTAACGAGCATGATGAAGTGGAATATGATGATCATGAGAGACGTGACAGCGCCGAGACAAACGAACCGAAGAGCAACAGTTCGGAGAAAGAGGATAAGAGCGGCAGCAGCGGTGGTGAGAAGGATGGTGGGTCAGCACTTCTCAGCCTGCAGCAGATGGACGATGCCATGGCCAAGTGTGGCAGCAGTGTTATGTATCACAATCTGGTGACACAGGACCCCACCGTTGCCCAACTCCTTGCTCAGTCTGCTGCAAGTCCCATCCAGTGGCCCAAGGACCGAATGCTGCCAACTAGACACGAGCATCTGATGAATGCTGCTGCCGCTGCCGAGCAGAAACCTTGGCCACTCGGCATAGACTTCCAGAGTAGCGAGCACGATAGTAAAACTACCCTCCTAACTACCAGCAGTGCCTCATTATACACCAGCAACTGTGTCGATGCTGCTGCCTTGGACTCAGAGAGCAGGAAGAGACGCCAGCTAGAGGTGGCAGCAGAGGTGGAGCGACAGCGTTTGCAAGCCTTGTTGCATCCCAGTCTGCAACACACATTATCACTGAATAAGAGTTCTTCCAGTGCCGCTGCTGCTGCTGCTGCTGCTGCTGCCGCCGCCGCTGCTGCCGCCACTATGGGTCTCCCCCCAACCTTCTCTAGTGCCAGTCTTCGAGCACTCATGGAAGAAACAGATGACAGGAGCAAAAAACAGCAGCAGCAGCTGGCATCAGATTCACACACGTTACGGCAGCTACAGTCTCTGCCGGGAACGTTAGATTTAGCAGCCAAGTCAATGAACACAAGCATGGATATGTCTGCCAGTCTACTGTCCCCCTGGGGTCCATGTTGGCCACGGCTTGATGACCCTATGAGAATAATGGAGAAGAGACATCTCGGCGAATCTCCCTTAGATCCCAGGACTCAGGAAAAGAAGCGCAGAAAGCTCGATGAGATAGTTTTTGGTCTGACGACTAAGGGTAAGAGCCCCGAGGCTGCTACTTCCTCGCACAAGGACACAAATCCTCTCTCTCTCCTCCATGGCTCCTCCCTCACACTACTAAACTCCCGTGACAGAAGCCAGGTAACCAACACATTGACCGCACCCAAACTCTCATCTAGCATAAGCATCACCCCCAGTGTGTCGAAGCGACCCATTGACACGAGGGTGGAGGATGGAGGAGGCGGAGCCTCTTCCAAAACAGCAACTAACTCCAGCGAGAGAGAGGGCAAGCCTGGGTTAGTGAAGCATTCGGACCTACCCCCAGGTGTGACACTGCCGCCAGGCATCGAGCTCTACCGTCCCACTGATGCCAAGGTGGACAAGTGGCTGGAGCAACACCAGGGACTGCTGGCTGACTCGTCCAGATTGACCAAGGATCTTAAGCGACGGAAGATTGATTTCAACACAATGGACTGGAGTCAATTCTCTGGTGATGAGCATGTCACCGTCATTAACACTACCACCGGACACAGGGTATGTATACTCTGGTTTTTCATACATATTTAGGCATATATACATATGCTTATATGTATTTACATTATACTGTATATGCATGAGACCAATGTATATTAGAACACCTGTGTAGACATAATGCCCTCTATATGTTACTGCATATGTGTGTGCATACATATATATACACCTACCATCCAACTTATAACCTGCTCAACATACGTCCACTCGACTTATGACCGTGCATCTGGCAGCTGGGCTGGGCCAGCTGATGCACACCCCTGTACAATATTTGACGATACTCGTGGTGGCAATGCATCATGCAGGCAGCATCAGTTTGAGTAACCCTGCCTTATCAGCAGCATCATACTGTATTAACTGTACTAACTGGACAGTAAATTTCACCATGGCCCCTAAGATGAAGTCTGAATCTTGCACTGGAGATTGTGGCAAGAAAGGCTCTTACTCTCGAACTCTCTATTTGTTTTCACTGTTGCACATAAACCTGTCTGTATCTGTCTGCCTGTATATCTGTGTCTGTCTGTATCTCTGTGTGTCTGTTTGCCTTTCTGTCTACCTGTGTGTCTGTCTACCTGTGTGTCTTTCTGTCTACCTGTGTGTGTATCCTGTCTACCTGTGTGTCTGTCTTTACGTCTACCTGTGTGTCTGTCTTTACGTCTACCTGTGTGTCTTTCTACCTGTGTCTGTCTTTACATCTACCTGTGTGTCTGTCTTTCTGTCTACCTGTGTGTCTCTGTCTACCAGTGTCTGTCTTTCTGTCTGTTTGTCTCAGAGCCACTCATTAAGAGTGTAATTGGTCTTGAAGATGCCATATTAATAATGATAATAACACAATAATAATCACTGAGGCGCATTAAATGTTTATAAAACATTAATATAGACATTTTGCTTAATCCAAATATGAGATGTTTTTCTGGTCGGCTTGACAGAGTGAACAGAAACCATTCGTGTCCGGGCTGGTAACAACTACAAACGTTTGTTTACATAACTCGGGGACCTTCTACACTCTCATTCTCTCTCTTGTTTATTCATTTAATATTATTTACTCACCTCTCACTCTACATTAAGACTACAGATATTTTAAGGTAAGTAATAAGTTGTCACAATTATTATATTATGGTTTAATAATAGTGATGGAGTGAATGATGGTGAAAGTTTTTCTTTTTCGGGCCACCCTGCCTTGGTGGGAATCGGCCAGTGTGTTAATAAAAAAAATATTATTAATATTCATACATATGTATTATTGTAATAATAATACATAATAATTATTAATATTATTATTAATTTAGGGCACTGGAGCACAGATCCACTGTATAGTGCTTTGTCTGGATATTTTGGGTTATCCTAGGTAATTTATACTATATATGATAACTTTACTTACGTGTACCTGTGAGAGAGAGAGAGAGAGAGAGAGAGAGAAAGCCACATTCAGTCAGCCAGTCAGCCAACCACTCACCCACCCGGCCAGCCAGTCAGCCAACCACTCACCCACCCGGCCAGCCAGCCAGCCAGCCAGCCAGCCGGGTACGTATGACATGTTCCAGAGTTGTTTCTCTTTACTTAGGGTACAGGTTATACAACATCCTGGCAGGATGACACCACCAGTGGTATTCTCCCATTCCACTGTGTCGACAATATATAAAGATAACAGTAACATATGATACTGTATGTGATGTAAAATTTATAATACAGTTCACTACCATGTATACATTATATACAGTACATAAATAATTAAAATATAACAATAAAAGTAAATTATGGTAAGAATGAAATAATGATTGTACATTACATTACAGTATTATGTAGGTAGTTTATATAGGAAACGTATGACATTATGCCCTACCCAGTATGTCAGCAATTTTCTAAGGTTCGACTTACGTCCATTTTGACTTATGACCGGTTGGTCGGAACCAAGCTTGGTTGTAAGTCAGATGGTACCTGCCTACCATCTGACTTACGACCTGCTCGACATACGACCACTCGATTTACGACCATGTTTTTTATGCAAATGTTCTGGGAAATAAACAAGTGTTTGTGTTATATACAGTGTGTTATACACTGTGTTTTACACAGTGTTTGTGTTATACACAGTGTTTGTGTTATTCACAGTGTTTGTTATACACAGTGTTTGTGTTATACACAGTGTTTGTGTTATACACAGTGTTTGTGTTATACACAGTGTGTTATACACAGTATTTGTGTTATACAGTGTTTGTGTTTTACACAGTATTTGTGTTATACACAGTGTTTTTGTTATACACAGTGTGTTATACACAGTGTTTGTGTTATACACAGTGTTTGTGTTATACAGTGTTTGTGTTATTCACAGTGTTTGTGTTATACACAGTGTTTGTGTTATACACAGTGTGTTATACACAGTGTTTGTGTTATACACAGTGTGTTATACACAGTGTGTTATACACAGTGTTTGTGTTATACACAGTGTTTGTGTTATACACAGTGTTTGTGTTATACACAGTGTTTGTGTTATACACAGTTGTGTTGTGTTTATACACAGTGTTTGTTTATACAAGTGGTGTTATACACAGTGTGTTATACACAGTGTTTGTGTTATACACAGTGTTGGTTATACACAGTGTGTTATACACGTGTTATACACAGTGTTTGTGTTATACACAGTGTGTTATACACAGTGTGTTATACACAGTGTTTGTGTTATACACAGTGTGTTATACACAGTGTGTTATACACAGTGTTTGTGTTATACACAGTGTGTTATACACAGTGTGTTATACACAGTGTTTGTGTTATACACAGTGTTTGTGTTATACACTGTTTGTGTTATACACAGTGTGTTATACACAGTGTTTGTGTTATACACAGTGTGTTTTACACAGTGTGTTATACACAGTGTGTTATACACAGTGTGTTATACACAGTGTTTGTGTTATACACAGTGTGTTATACACAGTGTGTTATACACAGTGTTTGTGTTATACACAGTGTTTGTGTTATACACAGTGTTTGTGTTATACACATTGTTGTGTTATACACAGTGGTTATACACGTTGTTAACACATGTATACACATTAATGACACAGAATAGTCTTACTAACAGTGTTTTATAATAGTGCATTTAATTTTCATCCAAAAAAATTTAGATAGTTTACCAATAATTTTAATAATAAACAAACAATTATAATATAAATTTTTCATTAGGTTTCAAGTATGATTTTCAAATTACACATGCAAATTTCACTTGTTTATTGGCAGGAGATTGTTTTGCAAATTCAGTTTTACTCTATGCATTACACTCATATATATGTATAACCTACCACCGACTTATACCGAGTTCGGTTCGAGAAACCGTCGTAAGTCGAAATTGGACGAAGTCGAATTTTACTACTGAATTTAACACACATTTGTAATGACTTATTTTACCATCGCTTATTTTGATATTTTCAGTATACTGTGTCTTTTACTGTTAGTCTGTATTTCATACTGTAATTAGAAACACACTGTACAAAACATATATTGTTTTATTATTCAGAATTTTTCAAAATTATCTACGTCGTAACGATAGTCGTAATTCCTGGTTAATCGGTTAGGATATACAGCCTCTCCTACAAACGTGACGTACTGTTTACCTGCCTCAGAAAATTAGGTATGTAACTGATCTCGTTATGTGTATGTCAATATACAGTGGTAACCTGAGTTCGAACAGCTCCTCACTTCGGGCATTTAAGTGTTTTTCGTAATGGTATTGTTAAGTGTTTATGTTTAAGGCTTTATGTAAGTATTGTGTCCTGGGAGTCGAAACAGCTAATCATCAATTTGTCTTTATTGCTGATGAGAAAATTCATTCAGTAAGGCTAGTGAGACGTCTTCTGAACACAGAAATGTTTCTCATGGTTACACTGCTACAGTAACTACTGAAAAAATTAAAATATACCTAGAACATGTTTCGGCTAAAGATGAAAGGTGACATTAATAACATATGTATAAAGATGGTTGAACAAACTATACCGATTATAGTATGCTCCTGACTCAGTGACATTATTTAAAGTTTAGGAATGGACTCCATTTAGTATAGGGTCTATTTCACATGTAGAACAAGGGTTATATCAAGAAACCTGCAGTCGTAGGATCGATACTGCACTGCGTACGATCAAGATTCCAGGCGCTTATGCACTCAGCAAATGCACATAACATTTCAGTCTGCTAGACTGTGATCTTCTCTGTATATACCGCTGTTCTGCGTGTGCATTGATATAAAAATAGCTTGAAGGTCAGACTACAGGAAGAGATTGAATAGCTTGAATCCATGCTTGAGGCTCACTGACGTGCCCGGGCTGGGAAAGAAACATGGCTTGTGAACCAGGCTGCCCAGTCTATGTGGCATTTGTGTGGCCGAGTGGACTAGAGCGCTGCCAGGGAATCTTGACTGTCCCCAGTAGCAGTATCAAGTCCTGCTGACTGCGGTATATATGTATTCAGTGGACCCCCGGTTTACGATATCATTTCATTCCAGAAGTATGTTCAGGTGCCAGTACTGATCGAATTTGTTCCCATAAGGAATATTGTGGAGGAGGGGTGTTAATGTTGCAGTTTAAAAACTGTAGTGTAAAGCACCCTTCTGGCAAGACAGTGATGGAGTGAATGATGGTGAAAGTTTTCCTTTTTCGGGCCACCCTGCCTTGGTGGGAATCGGCCAGTGTGATAAAAAAAAAAAAAAAAGGAATATTGTGAATTAGATTAGTCCATTTCAGACCCCCAAACATACACATACAAATGCACTTACATAAATACACTTACATAATTGGTCGCATTGGGAGCTGATCGTAAACCGGGGGTCCATTGTGTATATATATGTGTGTGTGTGTGTGTGTGTGTACCTTGAAATTGTGCTCACAGTAGCGAAAATGTTCTATTCTTTAGCGAAGCTCAAGAGTAAACAAGTGACGTCACCGTCCAATACCTGTCCGCCTGCCAGTCTAAATTCCAGTACGGAGTCAAGAATAGGAAGAGCCAGTTGTGAGTGT